TTTTTTAAACTGCATAAATTTTTAAAGCAGTGGCACTCGATTGTTACATTTGTACAGATTGGTACTTTTTTATATTGGGCTATTGGTACAAAATAAGAAACTGAGAAATCGGGTGGCACTCGATTCTTACATTTGTACAGATTGGCACATTTTTATATTGGGAAATTTTTTTGGTACAAAATAAAAACAGGGAAATAAAGGAGATATAGTCACCCACAGAAGTACTCGTAATTTAATTTTCTCCAATATTCCAAATGTTTTCCATTATAAATCTTTTTCGCTTTCCATATTGTTGTTTGTATTGTATGTTTCCATAAATATATATACACCCTCGACAAAAAAAAATCTAAAAAATCAGCAGTAATTTTTAGCTGCTTGAAACTTGCACTTTATTATACTAAAATTGAACGGGCTACAAAACTGCATACTGCAAACCTTTTCTGAATAGAAAGTTTGAAATTTTTATTAAGTTTGATTCATTTTTATGAATTTTGTACAAAGTTTGCAAGAATGATTTATATGGTTTTTGGTATAAAATGAGCTATGTTTTAAATAAAAATTATCGAAAAAGATTTATGATGGAAAACATTTTGAATATTGTGAAAAAACTAATTTACGAATACTTTTGTGAGTGACTGTATGTAGTTATATCGCAAAAACTGGTATCTGAACAATCAGTGGTATAGGAGATAAAGCTTATATAGCATAGATTTTGACGATTTTCTCAGTAGGTTTTGTATTATTATTTATAAAATAGCTTACGAAATTTATAGGTTTTGGCTGTTCAAATAAACAATCAGTTGTATGGAGGCTATAGGTTATAGCGACCCAATCTTCGCCATTTTCACTGTAAGTATTTTTTTTGATAACGGGTGGAAATATTACTAAATTTCATGTTCCCAGCTGCATAGATGGAGGAGTTATAACAAAAAATCGCATATCTGAACAATCAGTTGTATGGGAGCTATATATAAAAGTGACGCGATCTTTGTTATTTCCAATGTAAGTATTCAGTTGTTAATGGGTGGAAGTATTGCAGAATTTCATGTTCCTAGCTTCATAAATGGAGGAGTTGTAACGAAAATTCTCATAACTGAACAATCAGGTGTATGGGAGATATATTTTATAGTGACCCCATCTTTGTGATTTGCACTGTTAGTATTCTGTTAATAATGAGTGAAAACGGTGCGAACTTTCATGTTCCTAGCTGCATAAATTAAGAAGTTATGGCAAAAAATCTCATATCTGAACCTCCATATATGTTCATGTTCCTAGCTACTTAAATGGAGGAGTTATAACGAAAGATCTTATAGCAAAGTTGATGCGAGGATTCCGATAAACTATGCAGCGGGGTTTCCAAATGAAAGACGCGGTTTATGCGATTAACCTAGCTGCATAAATAAAGAAGTTATGGCAAAAAATCTCATATCTGAACAGGTTATAGGTTATAGCGACCCGACGCCATTTTTACTGAAAGTATTCTTTTGAGAATGAATGACAACAGTGCAAAATTTCATGTTCCTAGCTACTTAAATGGAGGAGTTATAACGAAAAATCTTACAAGCAAAGTTGATGCGAGGATTCCGATAAACTATGCAGCGGGGTTTCCAAATGAAAGACGCGGTTTATGCGATTAACCAATTCATTTAATTAACTTTTAATGGATTTTACAGAAAATATAAGCGGAGCGAACGAGTATGCGAGCAGTAGCAAAAATATATAGCGAATGCAAATAAAATGAAGGGGTGAATAGCAAATGTCAAAAGAACGTTTGCTATTAACTCCTGTGTGGTGTCAAAGCATTAACCCTTGCGAACGCATGAACCTTAACTCTTATGTATGTTTTACATGTATACATTAAATCTTTGGAGTTAGCATATTCGAGCTCAACATACCGCCGCACTTGAACTGTTATATTAAAATGTTCAAAACAAGATGCAAAAAGAAATTAAACACTAGAAATAATCTGTAAGTGGCAAATTCAAAAAAATAGTTGATAGTTAAACTATGAACTTGCCCCTTCGGAAAATACATCATGTTTCGTAGGTAGAAGGCACAGCACATTGGACGAACAAATTCTCCATTCGACGTTCTCACTGTCACGACCCGCACGTGACCATCAGTTCCAGGGTGGCACCGCGCTACCCTTGCAAGCGTCCACTTAATCGGAGGTGTGGGCTCGTTGAAGATAGCTACAACATCCCCTTCTTCGAGATTACGTGAGGGTCGAAACCACTTAGTGCGCCGTTGCAGGCTGATGAGATACTCGTCTCTCCAATGACGCCAGAAGTGCTGTCTTATTGCAGTGATTAATTGCTATCTCTGATGGAGATTTCCGCGGAACCCTCAGGTTCTGGGATCGACTTTAGAGGTTCGCCGATGATAAAGTGCCCTGGCGTTAGAGCTTCGAGGGCGACTGCAGTTGTCGCGCCCTCACATAACTGGCGGGAGTTCACGCTGGCTTCCACTTCTGTTAGTAACGTATTGAATTCTTCGTACGCCAGCAGAGTTTCGCCTAAAACGCGTTTTAGGTGGTACTTGATGCGTTTGATACCGGTTTCCCAGTATCCACCCTTATGAGGCGCGGTCGGCGGATTGAAACGCCACTCTATGGTGGAATCGGAGAAAAATTATTGAAAAGTGACGTCTGCCATGCACTTTTCATATCTGCTACGAAGTTCCTTCTCAGCGCCGACGAAATTCGTACCATTATCGGAGAACATTGTCTTACAATACCCTCTACGGTAGATGAAACGCTTAACGCATTGAAAAAAGAAGACGCCGATAAGTCTCCTACGAATTCTAGGTGCATTGCGCCAGTACACATGCAAATATACGAGCAAATGCAGCCTTTCGTAGATTTTGCCCCTCTTCCATGCGTGAAATTGTACATATACGGGCCGGCGAAGTCTACGGAGGTGCGTGTGAAGCAGCGGACATAGGTTGTTCGAGACGCAGGTAGGTCACCCATTGATTGCGTTGCAAGGTTGCGGTTAAGACAAGTGCATTTAACGCACTTACGATAAGTGTTGCGGATCAAGCTACGATCACCAATCACCTGTAACGGCGTTGTAAAACCACCTGCATTATGCGTGTCCGGCATGTAGAGTGAAGAGATGAATGTCGAGGAATATTAACTTCGATAGCGGAGAACCTTTATCAGGCGGTAGAATTTCATGAATATCAGCAACACGATTGGCAATAAACGTCTCCCATCTACTGGGATGTGCTTGCCACCATGCCATCGTGATTGTAGAGTCTGTCCAAGCAAACAGAGGGTAACGGAGATCGCCCCAACTATGTTGTACAGTTTTCACCAACTTGGCAGCGAGATGGGCCGCGCACAGTTCCAGGCGAGGTAAAGAAGTAGGTTTTATTGGCGCCACTTTGGTCTTGGACGAAACTACTGCAACTGTGACGTGGCCAAAGTACAGTACTTCTTTTTTCGCTCTTGTACTTCGTACTTCGAAGTACAGTCAAATGTACTTCTTTGCGATATTTTGTACTTCAGGGGGGAGAATCTGTAACCAGTTAGCGACAATTTTATATAAATGTTTTTGCGTCAAATATTGCGATAGCGGTTCGAGAATTGTCGCTAGTTGGTTACAGAATCTCCCCGAGGTCCTGTACTTCTCCGATATTCACATGGCCTGGCTGATAAATTCGTTCAAACCAATAAAGTCGCTGTGGACTGATGGTCTCAGAAGATATCGTGCAATTGGTTGGATCCTATTTATGTGAACTGCGTGCGGACCGGGTACATCCCCAAGGCTTGGAGGGTAGTCAGTTAGCTTTCACTCCGAAGGCCGGAAAAGGCTCACATGTTTCCTCTAGGGATTTTAGGCCTATCAGTCTCTTCGTTTTTTGTTAAAAACGCTAGAGAGACTGCTGGACCTGTACATATGAAACGCGATTCCTCGTGGCTGTCTTTCAAGAGCTCAATATGCTTATTGAAAGAAAACGTCAGTGAATACCGAACTGCACACATTGGTAAAGTGGTCAGAGGAAGCCTTAACGCATGAAGATTATGCAGTAGGTGCCTTCTTCGATGTCGAGGGCGCCTTCAACAATGTCACTCCAGAGGCAATAGTAAAGTATATTTATAATCTGGGGGTTGAAACCAACCTAATAAGCTTACTTCGAGACAGAACTGTCGCGGCGGAGTGAGGGAGCGTTTGCACTTAGTGCAGAGTCAAAGTACTCCAGAAGGTTGCGTTCTATCTCCCCTGCTCTGGATTGCGGTTGCAAGCCACCATCTAGAGGAACTGGAAAAAGTGGGCTGTCGGGTAATCAGCGATGTAGATGATGTGCAACTTTTGGTTAAGGGACGATTTCTATACACCGTTTTTGGTCTGGCTGCAGGTTACCTGAACCAAGTAACAAGGAGGGCGATCAACGGCGGCTGTCGTAAAAGCCTAACATTAAGAAAGGGTAGAAAAGGTGTCGGTTGCCTTGTACTGCTGTAAGGGAGTTATCGGTAAAAGGTGGGGTCTCTTGTCCAAATTAATTAATTAGCTCTAGGAAACCAGATTCAAGCCTATATTGTTCCAAGGAAACCTTGTCTGAATTGTCGCAGCACAAACAGCTATTAGGCTAAAGGAAACTGGGTACTTTTGTGACATAAAGAAGGAAAAGAAGAAGTTTCTCTGCTGCATCAAATGTTTTTATAGCGTACTTTAAAACACGTTACCTCTCAAGGGCTAGTGATGGGAGTTCTGAAAATTCATTGTGCGGTTGGTATTCATGCGGCGAGACTAAGAATTTCGACTGATTCTTTTGCAACAGCTGTCAAGAGGAGGATGAAGTGGAATCATCTCCACACTTTCTTTTAGACGTTCCAACCTTCGCGAGGCTAAGATAGAAGCATTTTGGCTCGCACTTCTGAACAAGCAATGAGCTCTCAAAGATCGAATTTAGCCGCATTCGAACTTTCGCGTTCAGCTCGCGGCGTTAACTTAACGCAACAAAACCTGTACTTCTTTGAGCTATGAAATAGTTGGTCACATTAAGTATAGATCTTGTTGCAGTTGAGGCCCGACAAACAATGCGTCATTTAGCGAATTCCCTGTGGTAGTTTTGGCGGACGCGTTGAAAACAACCCGCAGCTTGGTCGTTACACTGGACTCCTTTATTATTGGGTGATGCGGCATATAATACCCTTCGGTCGTTGTTTCAGATACCATCTCCATGTGACCCATTTCAATAAGTCCTTGCATGAACTCATTGTAACATAAGCGAAAATCGTAGTTACCTGCGAGCCTTCGTTCGATGCGTAACAGGTTGCGAATCGCGAAGTTGCGTGACTCGCCCAATGATACGTTAGGTTTTAGAAGTAACTCAACGACAAAGCGACCGTCAGGCGTTCTTTTGTGCGTGGAATCGAAGTGACTTTCACAGAAGCATTCTTCGAGCGTTAGATGCGTTTTTTGCGGCAACTCTTCCAGCTCCCACAATTTAGCGAGCGCTCGGTCCAGATGAACGTCGCAATGCAGTGACGGTAAACGCAGCGCGAGTGAAGCACAACTGTCGACACTTCCGAACAAAGTCCACCCAAAAACTGTTCTCTGAGCCATAGGAGCACCAGTTGGACCTTTACGAAGCTCAGTGCAGATAAATCGGTCCATAACATCCATGCCAACCAGAATGTCTATGCGGCTAGGCTTCGCCGATTGCGGGTCAGCTAGGAAAAAATCCTTGAATTTGCGGCCAATTCGAAACATTTAAAGTCTCTGTTGGCAAATCGTTTGTGACTAAAAGCGTAGCATTCATCTGAGCAGAAAGACGAAAGCGAGAGCAGCGTCTCGCCTCTACAGCTTGGGAAGACCCAAGCGCTGACCCGGAATCAAACAATAATCGTGCGGTCTGCCACTGATCCGAACGATCACGAACCTTTACTAGTGCGGTAGTTGCAGGGGACAGACTAGAACCAGAACTTAAGCAAGATGCTCCGGAACAACGTGAAACACTTTGGTTGATTTGCCAGCTGATTTCTGTGTAGTCGACTTGATAATCGAGGTCTGAGCTGAAGGCGTGGTAAGCATTGCTAATGAGCGACATCTTATCTCCAAAAACGACGTCAGCTGTTCAAATGTCGGAGGCTCATCACTAACAAGTGAAAGCTCCCACTGCTTTCGGGTCTCGAATGCAAGTTTGTTGACAATTTCATGCACCAACCAATCGTCCCAAAATTCGATGGGGCGCCCTAACGCTTTGAGCTCTCGAATGTGTTGCTGAAATGCATCCATAACGCTCTTTATAGCATCAGCAGTGTCACTCGTAGCCTTGCGAATATCAGCTATCGGCCTAAGATGTGCTTCAACGATTACTCGCATGACCTTGTAGCGGGACTTCAGCAGGTTCCATGCCTCTGCATAGTTCGCCATATCTTGAAGCCGCTTATAATACTTAACGCGTCCCCTTTTAAGCAACTGCGCAAATAATGTAATTTTTGCACGTCTGATAGAGCAGCGTTGGTGTCAAAGCTATCCACTCCGTGGAATCGCCAGCAAATGTAGGTAAATCCATTTTCGGCAAACGTATTGATGCAGACACAGCCGTTGATGGGGGTGCGGGTTGCATTGCCGATTCCGTGCGACACTTCTGGGCACGTTTGAAGTTGGCCAGGGCTGTAGCATACCAAGTCTCGCCTTGCACGAGCATTTTCCCCCACTTCAGCATTTTCAAGCCCACAAGATGTTTCGACTGCATCTTGGGCAGTGTTGAAACGGACCCATTGCTCATTGAGGAGCTGCAAATAATTTGCGACACTGTCGAAGTCCATGGCAAATGCATCGTCTATACTTTTTGCCATGTACCTCTTAATAGCGTTTAGTGCGGAATCGCGGGTTTTCACGGAGGCAGACATTGCGTTAATTTTGCTTTATGGGTCATTTCAAGGTGAAATTTAAAAGCACGGCGGATTTGCAAAATTACACTTGCACAATGCCGAATGTGGGACAATTTACAATTCGTAGAGGGCTAATCAAAGTCACCGCAGGTTGTCAAAATTATAAATATCGATTACAAACAGTTTGTAGAGGTCAAATCAAAGTCACCTTGGCTTCTCGAGAATTCGTTATGTTGAATTAAGAAACAGCTTCTAATACAACCACTGCACACCAAAGTTCTATTTAATTTCAGCAAAAATGTCTGATTTATAATAAGTTTTGTAGCTGGGAACACACTGTGTTTATTTATTGCAAATCTATACTTGCACTTTTACGAGCGGGTTGTTTAAATCCGGACCGAAGGACCAGCAAATGTTGCGGAGATTTACAAAGCAAAGTTGATGCGAGGATTCCGATAAACTATGCACCGGGTTTTCCAAAAGAAAAACGTGGTTTATGCGATCAACCAATTCATTTAATTAACTTTTAATGGATTTTACAGAAAATATAAGCGGGGCGAACGAGTATGCGAACAGTAGCAAAAATATATAGCGAATGCAAAGAAAACGAAGGGGTGAATAGCAAATGTCAAAAGAACGTTTGCTATTAACTCCTGTGTGGTGTCAAAGAATTAACCCTTGCGAACGCATGAACCTTAACTCTTATGTATGTTTTACATGTATACATTAAATCTTTGGAGTTAGCATATTCGAGCTGAACATGAACAATCAGTTGTATGGGAGCTATCCAAACTAACAAACTCTCCAGAACAAAACTCTAACAAATTACGAAAAGATCTCATAAGATTCTTTTAACATACTTGGATAACCTCATAACATAATTCTTGTAAAAAGACTCAAATTGGCTCTGATAGTACTATTTTTGTGAGATAATAATGCTACTAGAGTTAGTAAGCCTTTAAATCTCATAATAAGACCATCTTGTACCTTTTTTATAAAACTTCAACTCTCAAAGAGTTATACTCTTGAAAAAATGCTCATATGAGTAGTAAATTGTTATGATACTTATAAGAAAACTCTTGTCAGATATAAAGTATAAAACCACTTATAAATATGCCCTTATGAGACGTAAAATGTCAAAACACGTATAAAAAACTCTTACGAGTACAAAAGAATCATTACTCTCATAAACACTACAATAGAGGTGCACTTATATCAAGAAAAATATTATGTCAGCCAACATACCTTGTTTCAGGGTTAATCCGCCAAAATGGATAAGTTTAATTGGAAAAAAGTTAAAAGATCCACTAATATGCGAAGGAAAATTCAGAAGATTTATCTTAAATTAAAAGATAACACGTCCAAGATTGTTACAGCCAATAAAAGAGTTGCTGCGAATTTTAAACAATATTCTAAAAATAGTGCGCGGTCTGCGGACAATTTATATCAAAAATCTATTCGTCCAGAATATAACAGCTGTAATCCTATTCAGAACAACTCGAATGAAGGCCACGATGCAGAAATTTCTGTTGATAATATAAAAGCACCATGGCATGTAAGTCTAATTTAAATTAACACGAAAAGTAATTACATTAAAAGTTGTATTCCCTTTCAGCAATATGATGATGAGGAATATCAGTTAATCGATGCTGAGTTAAAAAAAATGAAGTTTATGGAACTGAATTAAAAAATTGGGCAATTCAGTTTAATATAAGGCACCAAGCATTAAAACGATTGTTACAAATATGTAATATACGAAACCCTGATTCATTGCCAAAAGATGCAAGAACGTTGCTACAAACACCAACTGTTACTACAATTCAGGCAGTCGGTTTGGATGCCCAATATTGGCACCAAGGGCTTACATTTTGTCTACAACAATGTATTGCCAATATCAAAGAATCGTTAGGAATTTCCATTAATATCAACATTGATGGCTTACCAATATATAGGAGTTCCACTCCTCTCTGCAACTCCTATATGGCCCATTTATTTAATATATATGAAAAACCTCATATCCAGCCAATGGTCATCGGTATCTATAGTGGCAAAGGTAAACCACTCAGTCTAGAGTTGTTCATACGACCGTTTGTGGATGAAGCGAAAGAAGTGCTGACCAATGGAGTTACCATCAATGGACAGCATAAAGTTGCCAGCACGGGCTTTTATAAAAGGTAAAAAGCATATTTATATACATATATATGTATATATATTTTATATTAAGCTGCTCTTTGCACAAATATGTGAATAGGTGTTACTTATTTCAATGGTCAACACGGATGTCAAAAGTGTACAACAGTCGGAGAATATTCTTACGTTTCACATTCCAATATTTTCCCGAGAACTGAATGTAACGGGTGATTTTTTTGAGGTTAGGATTTTCATGCATTAGTATTTGACAGATCACGTGGGATTTCAGACATGGTGTCAAAGAGAAAGATGCTCAGTATGCTTTGACATTTCATCATGAATAGACTTACTAACGAGCAACGCTTGCAAATCATTGAATTTTATTACCAAAATCAGTGTTCGGTTCGAAATGTGTTTTTTGTGCCCAATT